CTTCCGCAGGCTTTGACTGGAGATGTGCGTAATCGATCGATTGCGAACGACCAGCGCCGGCGATACTGAATCAAACAAATGCACTGAATCCTCAGGCGTCAGGTCACTGCAACACAGCTTCATTCCTAAGCTGAACGCCATGGCCGCAACAGAGAGAAGGCCTACTTCAGCGGCGCATACATTCATATCAGCGATGACTTTCGTCCGAACAACTCGAAGGAAATGGCGGTTGAGTGGCTACCAGCTTTGCTTCATATCGGGATGTTGCGATTTCGAATCTCCATCCGCCAACAGTTTATCCTGATTTAAGTGTATCGTAGTTATACTCGGTGTCTGCAGTCGAACATGGCTTGGTAACCTAGCATAGGCCAAGATCACGTCCCAGCATCCAATTGAAGTGGCTTTATGCAGCAGTGAATCAGAGAACGTGATGCTCTCGAAGCCCAACAGCGAATCAGTGTATGTGGAAACTCTCGAAGAACGGCACGGACACTTTCGAGGATCGTCTGATAATTGAGGGTACATGGTAGCTTTCAAGTATGGACAGTGGGTCAGAGTACTTGCTTGATCTCGAGGACCGGCTGTGAATCAGGTTACATGAACGCTTCTTGGTTCCGGCAGTGAAACAGTGTAGACGCTCGGTCTCAAGGATCAGCAGGGCGTTAGTTCACTTGGTCGCTCTCAAGGACCATTACTGAACCAGCGGTCAGAAAATGCGTGCTTGCATACAGCAGCAGGCAGTCAGTATTTGCTGGTTACAGTGAGCGAGGCAGTAGCAATTAAAATACCACGATATGTATACAGTTGCCGTCTTGTAGTGCACTCAGTTTCACCTGTTACTTCACGACATGTTTCGGCAACATAGTGCCATCATCAGGTGCCCTAATTACGCTATTTCATTGCTTGCCTTTATAAAATTATTTAAATAGTATTTAAAAGATGCGTATTTGTCAACTATAATGAATTTACACACGCTAAAACTTGTTAAGATTATTCATCTTATGTGTCATAATTAAAACTTGCGTGTGGTTCTTCCGCTATGGGGGTCGTTTTTCTTATATTCTGTGTAACCCGTGTCTTGTGGTGTGTGTTCCCTTCTTAGCTGCGAGTGTTGTAATGTTTACAATGTTTACACGGTTTACACAGAATATAAGAAAAACGACCCCATAGTGGAAGAACCACACGCAAGTTTTAATTATGACACATAAGATGAATAATCTTAACAAGTTTTAGCGTGTGTAAATTCATTATAGTTGACAAATACGCATCTTTTAAATACTATTTAAATAATTTTATAAAGGCAAGCAATGAAATAGCGTAATTAGGGCACCTGATGATGGCACTATGTTGCCGAAACATGTCTTGAAGTAAGAGGTGAAATTGAGTGCACTACAAGACGGCAACTGTATACATAGCATGGATGAAAATCAGTGCAACAGGACGCTAAAATACAACATAATTAAAATACATAATTGCATAAGATGATACGAACCACAGATATGACTAAATATCGAACTTCCATCCTCAGTCACTGAGTCATTAAAAATTAAGAGATACATTATTTATGAAGAGGTAGATCTTATTGAAAGACATTTAGCGCAGCGTTATGGACATACGTAGATGCTTTAGATTTATTTGTTCCGTCTATTGAAAAATTTCGGTCCATATTTGTACACTGTTGCACTGTATTATGTGTGGTATAAGCTAAAGAGAAAAAGAGTTGTCGAAAAGTTTCTGTAGTGCCTAGCACTCAGAAAATTTGAACATAATCCTATGGATATTTCCAGAGATTAGACAAAATTTTGGTGACTGCGATGTAGCAAAGACGTGGTGACTACAAGCAGACGCCCTGGTTCGAGAGAAAACGAGAATTACTACGCCGTGACTACGATCCCTGCACTTCTCACATTGCATGGCAGTTACATGAATGCACGTGGGTGTCAGAAACAAACGTATCGCCGCATATCTGACGGGCAGCAGAGGAGAGCAGAGGTTGCAATCAAGGTTACGGATTCAATGAATAACAAAAACAGTGCACAGCTTTCCTAATCAGGTTCAAATTAGCGAGTCAAACCCCTTAATCAGTTTATTAGTCATTTCAATAATTTAATAATATTGTGACATGACACCTAAAAGCTGTATTCTGCCCATCTTCTGGGCGGGGCTTTGCAGAGAACGTTCCCATGGCAACACGGGAGACGCTGCTGCTGGACGGCGAATTATTGGAACACGTTTCCACACCAACGAATACGACTGAATAAGTAATTCACTGGCTAAGCGGCCTCCGTAGTCTAGGGGTAACGTTCCCACCTCATGACTCAAGGTACGCGGGTTCAAACCCGGCGGAGGTCGTGGAATTTTTAAGGGCGGAAAAATTCAGGGAACAAGTCCTCCGGGAGGGACTTTAAGCCGTGGGTCCCGTGTCGTAGCTTTACGGCACGTAAAAGAACCTCATGCCTCAAGGAGGTCTCTGAGCCAAATTACAAGGACGTTTCCCGCACAACAATAGTCTCTAACTCCTCTGGTAGATGGGGGAAGCATCAAGATACCGCTGAGCCAGTAGAGGCCGAACTCCCTGGCTGAGTCGGGACTGATGGCACGCACCAGTATCGATAGGGTATGGAGACTGGTAGAATATCACAGGGGGACGTACAATAGTCCACTGGTCGCGGTGCATGGGGAAACCCACCCCCTCCAATAATAATAATAATTCACTGGCTAGAGATTCACATTGATTCCTAGACAACACATACAGAGGCGTTTCCATTGCAGCGGTTAGGTAAATGTTCACACAGCAACGAAAGACATCTACACTAATTACGTAGGTCATTTCAGAAATAAAGCACAATTTTTTCTTTACGTCCATGTTTCCTGTTTTTTTAATATCTCTTTACAGTCCTTCAATATAGTCCCCCTGCTTCTCAGTGACCGAGTCCCAACAAGTGGGAAGCTTTACTGTTCCATCCAGGACACCATCTTTCTTTTATCTGTCCGAGGCTCGGTTACTGCAGCAGAAAGCTCTTCCAGAGAGGGAAAACGACGGCCTCGCATAGGCTGTTTCAACTTTGGGAATAAGTCGAAGTCTCGTGGACTCATGTCCGGGCTGTAGGGAGCCCCAACCGTACTGGCGCAGCTTTTCTGTTGCGACATTGCCGATGTGCGGGAGAGCGTTGTCATGGAGCATGATCGTTTCTGCGCAGATTTTGCATAAAGTCATGGTAATAAACTGCTGTGACACTTTTCCCGCACTGAATGATTCCTTGGTGATCACAAGCAAAGATCACCATTTGTTTGACCTTTGATTGAGATCGAAATTTTTTTGGTCGTGGGGAAGATGGACCTCTAGACTCGTTGGACTGTGATTTCAGCTGTGAATTTCTGTCGGCTTTTTTCCACGTAAAGTTTCGATCTTAATGTACGACCTTTGATCTTCTACAGTCACAATACCCGAGAACCGTGCAGGCTCCAATTCTAATTCACGTTATTTAAGAACAGAGTACATTATAAATGAAACAAAATAACGCGCTTCTTTCTCAAGTCCTGAACTGCACCTGACTTGACGCTCACTGTTGTTGCATAATCTAATCCGCAGTGTTGCCAAGCTGTGCATTATTTATGAAATGATCCTAGGAAACTTTTGAGAAGGCGATCTCTACACGGTTCGAGTAAAACCTACCTCAGGGGGAGATGGAATCAAAGAAGACTGCAGAAAACAGAAGAATACAGAATAGAGACTACGGAATACAGGAGAGTGCAGAGGAGACTAGATACTGCAAAGAAGGGAATTGGTACAGATCTGATCACCGAATTATTAAATTCTCTAGTGTGACGTTATATTTTTGTGTGTAATATATACAGTGATGTGTAGTGAGTTTTTGTAGTGTTTTCAAGAAAGTTAAGATTTCAATTCACCCACAATGGATTCAAAACTTTCCCTTTTATGTACATATCTGGTTTGCGTGAAGAATTCTAGCGATAACAAGGTGGTAAGCCTAGGGAAACAAGTTGTCATTGGTGTTATGCTGGCATTCCTGTTCAATGTAAGTGTAAAATGTGCACAGTGGTGTGGTGTTTTTTTTTTCTTAGAAAGGGGGTGGAGGACCAAGTTTAATAGAACTTCACCCAAATCCAACCAAAAGGATATGGGTGAAGTGATATTAAACTTATTTATGCAGCTGAGCTTTTCTTGAGAAGCTACCAATTGTACAGAATTTTCCAACATTTTGTAGAACCCGAAGGTTCATTGCTGTGTTCACAAGAGCCCTCCACTGGTCCCTATCCTGAGCCATATCAATCCAATTCATACCATACCATCCTATCTCACTAGGATACATTTTAATATTGTCCACCCACCTACACCTTGGTCTTCCCAGTAGTCTCTTTTCCTTCTGGCGTTCCCATCAATATCCTATATGCATTCCTCGCTTCCCCCATTCGTGCTACATGCCCTGCCAACCTCATCCTCCTTGACTAGTGATACGGAACACAGTTCATCACAGTGTTCAATATCACTCATCCAACCTCATCCTCCTCGACTAGTGATATGGAACACAGTTCAACACAGTGTTCAATATCACTAGTCGAGGAGGATGAGGTTGGCAGGGCATGTACCACGAATGGGGAGGCGAGGAATGCATATAGGATATTGGTGGGAACGTCAGAAGGAAAGAGAGACTGCAGTACAAGAGGTCTGGTTGTAAAAGTATTTTTTGCAAGAAGTGAAAAAAATAATTGCAAGGGGGCGGCGGAGCACTCAAAATAGTTGCTAAGGTAGCATACCTTCTTACCGATTGTGCTCTCGGCCCTGGAGGCCATGTTAAATTTAGTTCATATAAGCTGAAAATAGATGGCGGTAGCATTGCACCGAGGTGTCATCGCGGCCATGTTCCCAACCAATTACATGGGAGTTTCACGGGGCTGCTCACGACACCGCTGAGGCCCCATCGTACAGGGGGGTGTAACTGGCATAGGGGAGAGGGAAACATGCAGACCANCATCGTAGGCGTAGCGATAGTAGCATGGCCTGTGCTGGAAGGAATGGTTGATTTAGTGTCTGTTGTAAAATATAGAGTGGGAGTTTGGGGTTGCACTTAGAGTGACAACATTGTAACATATTAACATCACAGTAGAATATAAATAAGATCACATATCGTGAAGATTTCAGTTTCCTAGTAAGAACACATTATTTACTGGGATACTTGGTAGTATAAAATTGCTGTGACATTTTGAAATATTTACATTACTGGTGGTACTGTTAACATAAAATACATAACCTATAAATCCCTTCATTAAAATCAATTTCGTAGAACAGTGGTAAATTATATATGGATATTTAATGGATGCACAAAACAGTAAATTTTCAGGGGGGTACTCACTTCTAATCAAACAGTAAATTATCACTTTAATTTTTTACTGTTTGTGTTATAGTAATTAGATTAGATGATGTAGGAACAGACGGTGCCGTGAGACTAGAGTCACCGACAGATGAACATGACGTTTTAGCAGCTGTGAACTTTCCCATATTGAGTTTATATGAAGTGGAAGAAGGGATAGAGGATATATTTCCTCAATGACAAAGATGCCAATTATGAACAGAGTAATTTTTTTACAATTTGTTTTGCTCGTTATGCAAATTACTCATTATGAGAGGTGCTCGTTAAGCGAGGTTCCACTGTATTCACATTTATGTATTTATGCATATGCTAAAGAAATTTTTTTCTAATGTGTGTGTCCAATTAAATTTCTTTTATATAATAATACACACATCATAGAACTGAATACAGCCATAACAATAACAAATTCCTGTTGATGACTGATGCTACACATACATTGGCTCCTGTTCTCTTGGGATAAAAACTGCCAGTCCCAGAAACCAGCTTTGGCAGTTTGAAATTCTTCCTTGACTAAGGAAAAGAGGGCCAGTCCAACCAAATATCTGATCTGTATTTTAATCTCATGTATAACAGCACATTCAGTTGCATCATTATGATAATGGTAACAGTAATAGTTGTACCAAATGGTTTGTTTTTGCAGTAACACTCTTGAATCATATGCATGAGGTCCTTGTTGAAATCTATGTAGGGATGTTAGCTGTCCTGACAGGTATTTCATGAGTTTCCTCAGTCCCTCCATGCAAATTCCAAGGTAATACCTTGATTAAGCCACAGCTGGTTCCTTTTAAATCCTTTCAGTTTCTTCACTGATCTGTCATCCTACCATTTGATGCTCTTTGATCTCGCTCCTGACAGCATCAAAAAGTAGCCCACAAAAAAGTATGCTAATGAAAGCAGCACTGAACAATGAAGTACTCCGTCTTACAATCCATGCTATAAGTAAACTGCCACTAAAGCCCACAGAAATCGTTATCAGCATTAGTATTGAAGCTGGTGCATAACCTTTAGTGTGAAAGCAGTCACTTTGAGTGTGCCATACATTTTTCTATAAAAACAAATCTCATCAATAACACCAAAATTTATGACCCGAGATGTTATGGAAAGACAGCTACATATATAGTAAGGTACTGAGCCTGAAAGAACAACAAACAGTATGCGCTTAGCAGCGCTGTTGTCTAAAAATACCCTTTAAATTTTTCTTTTTTTACAAAATGTGAACCCTTCAATACCAACATGCATTTCACTACCATTTATTGCTGTGATCATCTGCTTCTGTTTGTAACCATTACCAGTGCTGATGACTTTACTGTAAACTGGAATTCTTTCAGATAACAAGCACTCCATGAAAGTTAGCTAACAAATTATCTCTCTGTAAGCAAGTCGGAGTGTGAGTTGGAACAATTCTTTTGTAAGCAGCAGACACCAGATGCTTTGTCCCAAGCAAAGCGAGTAAAAAAATACCACACACAAACAGATAGCGAGGAATGAAAGAAGTCAGTGTTAGCTGACATATACATTCACTGGAAGTACACACATCAGAGCGTAGGCGTTAAGAATTCTTAGTGAAAAGTTTGGACGCAACATATGCGGCGCGCACGCTTACAGCACGGCTTTGAGTGGACGCAGACGGTGCGTCGCACACGCTTAGGGATTTAAATGGCTCCGCTAAAAGTCACACTCAAAGGGTTAAACATTTTAGATTCTATAACATTCATGGCTTAATGCAGCTTGAAATGTGTTTGTTGACTTGTTGCTTGCACACATCTGTAAAATGCAGTTATATAAAGCCTGAAGTGCTGGCCACACACATTTCTATTTCTATAGCGCAGTTCCATCTGACTTGGCACTGTCATTGAAATGCTTGTGGTCTTTGTTTATTCCCAGGAGTCAGCGCTGCAGAGCAGTTTGGATTTAAGCCAGCCATGGAGTTTGCTGAGCTGATCCTGGTCCCTAAGCTTGATGGGGTCATAATGCATTGGCCATTCCAAAAACCAGTTGATGGCACTCTCTGCATCACAGGTCACCATCTCATACTGTCCACTAGGAAAGAGAGTGTTGAGGAACTCTGGGTAATTACCACATTTATAGTTTATGTACATGTATTAATGTGTCATCTAGTTACAATATTTTTGTAATGTTCCCACCTCATGACTCAAGGTATGTGGGTTCAAACCCGGTGGAGGTCGTGGAATTTTTAAGGGTGGAAAAATTCAGGGAACAAGTCCTCCGGGAGGGACTTTAAGCTGTGGGTCCCCTGTCATAGTTTTAGGCACGTAAAAAATCCTCATGTCTCTAGGAGACCTCTGAGCAAAATTAGGCAACAATTTCCCACCCAAGTAGTTTCCAATGCCTCTGGTAGATGGGGGAAATATCAGGTACCGGCGGCCAACCTCGTTGGCTGAACAGGGCTGATAGCAATATATGCTGTGAACAAATGAACAGGTTGAGTGTAAAAGGCTGACTGATACTTACAAAATAGTACTTGATGCCCGAGATATGAAGCTCAAACTGTTGAACATAAAGTTCTGTACTTAGTAGTGCATGAGATTTTCTTGTGAGCTCAGATTCAGTCAGAAGGGTCGGATGCTTCACCCATGCAATCTGGTCTGTTGATTGGATTAGGTTAAAAGTAATAGGCATTTAACGACCCTTGCGGCTGCCTTGAGTTTCACACAGCCTTGAATGTTGACCACATTAAATTTTGGCAGGCCTACCACAACAGTCAACCAGTCACATCAGTTCACTTGTTTCATTGGCGTGAAAAATGTTAACACAGTGAATATTGTAAGATTTGAGGCTTTCACGGCGGTGACTATGAAGAAAGCAGTCTTCTGGGATTTGGCACCGTGTATATGTGGTGTTAGCCGACGTTTCGGAGGAACGTCGGTTAACACCACGTATACACGGTGCCAAATCCCAGAAGACTGCTTTCTTCACAGTGAATATTGCTGGTCCAGTCTCCAAAATATACCTGCAAATTGTATGGTGGTTTGCTTGTATACCATGCCATGTTGATTTATGCAGGACATCCCATGATGATACTTCCTGTAGCTTAGACTATACAGTGCTGAATGGTTAGGTGAGTAATTAATAATGAATTGTAAAAGATGTTGAAGGAAGTGGTCATGGCCTAATTTGAAGTAATATTTTGGCAGTTGCCTTTAGGGACTGAGGAAAACCATGAAACCCTCAGGTTAGTTGGTCTCTGGGCCAAGATTTGAACCTGAAACCTCCCAATTATGAAGCAGGAGTATTAACCACTTATCCTTGAGGTACAGTCAATGTCTGTAATGATTACATGTCATGTGGCCTAGTTTGATGGTACCTTCCTACATATCTTGAAGGAAACCATACAAGCCACACAATCAGTGTCTGGTATGTTGGTCAAGATTAGAGCTGGATACTCATGAAATGATGATCATATCACATGGTTGTATGTCTCTTTTAGATCTTACATATCTTACCTGTAGTAGCTGGCATAGCTCAGTCATTATAGTGACTAGACTACAGGCTATATGGCCAAGGAATTGGAGTTTGATTCTTGGCAGGAATAAGAGGTTTTTTCTACTCTCCATAGTGTCTAAACTGGCTCTGTGGTACACCCAGCCTCATGTCTAATGGGTGCTGGTGGTTCTTCATGGGGATAAAGCAACTGATGGGTGAAATTCACTACTCTGCTTCTAGTTTTGAGGTTAAGAATATTATGGAACTCTACTTCTCTGATAGATCATATGATCAGTCAACCAAGCTTGCTCATCTCTCCAATCTGGACTCCCATTATTGCAACAGAAGTCAGAACACTACAGCTCCATCCAGTGTAGATTAAGTTGGAAAATTTTGTTTTATGTTGGTACCATACAGAGAATTTATCTCTCTGGTGATGACATCTATTCTGACAGTACTCTGGTGCTAGACCTCATATGTGTGGAGTTTTTGTAATGTTTTGTCTTAACTTTTGCAGGTGGTTTATGTTGTGCTTGGTTTTTATACCCTATCTTGTGTTGGTGCAGGTGTCCAGAGATAGGGACTAGCTCTGTCAATTGGGCCCAAATGAGTAGATTCCATCTGAAATCAGAGACAATCCAGTCTCCGAAATGTCGTGTTTTAAATAAAAACAGGATGATGGATAATGTCCAGAAACGCATACACACTCTGATGAAATCTGAGATCATCATGCAAAATGCAGCAAAGTGTCTGTCTGGAATGCCTATGGCAGCCAACTGACATCTAGTGTTACTTTGTAATTTTTCTGATTTAGGCTGTTTGTCTTCACAGTACTGACAGGAGTGGTGATGCAGTGTACTTGACCTATCCACAGGACGTCATGCGGTTCCTGCACCACAGTACCTATTCCCACACAACACTTTTGGTTATGCAGTATTTGCCAAGACACAAATTACATTATAAGGCCCGGGTTGGTTGTGTTGAATGTTTCCTTTCTTTCCATAGACATAAACAAGTGTTAGGTCCTAAGACCTGTTTCTTTAAAGCTCAAGCTATGCACAGATTGCTAAAGTCTGTTTGGCTTCTTGACATAGCTGGATACTGCAACTTCTGAGCTTGCAAATTAACCATTAGCACCTTCATGGAGAGTCAACTGTTTCTTTAAGTGTGGTTTATATCACAATGCTCTCAGTATCTCAGGCTGTATAGCATCAGATGGAAGGATGATTTAATGAGTAATGAAGTGGAAAGAATGTGGAAGGAGCAGCACAATTTGAGATGCTATCCCAGCATTTGCCTTGCCAGACTGAGGAAAATCATGGGAAATCTCAGTCAGAATAGATGATACACCAAGTGAGATTTGAGTTGGTCACCTTTCGAATACAATTCATAAACTTTGCCCCTTGAGCCATGCTGCTAGGCATACTAAACCTTGTCACTGTCTGGTGCCAAATTTACAGAACTTGTTACCAACCCGAAGTGTTTCCACACATTTTTGTTGCTTCATTTCTGCCCTAGCAAACATGATGTGTTTTCTGCTGCTGTACATTTATAAGTAGGTCTTCATATATGAGTTTCTTTGTAGTTGACTGTTTGAAGAGGAACACAGATCACACAGAATTTATTTTTGAGACAGCTTCCTTTGTCTTATTTTATGTATTTGACAAACAGAAATGATTAATGATACATGGTATTGAAGAAAATACAACTGTGTACAACTGTTTTTCTAGCTACCTTTCTGTGGATAACTGTACTTTTAGGTATCTGGAATAGATACATAAAAAAGAGGAAAGCTGCAAGAAATGGTCTGTTTGTTGAGACTTGCTTGCTGCAATTGTGGCAGTATGTATGGCGTCTGTGTTTGTTATGAATTTTAATATGTTATAATGAAACTGTATTGATGATATGGCTGGCCAGTGTGTGTGCAATGGCAATGTGTGAATCTGACAGTGGTTTTTCCACCACTGATGTGTGTAGTCTTGACAACTTGTGCTGGCTGCGTGAGGTCTGAGTATATATTTTATTGGGCCAACGACGTATGATGAGTAGCCATCATGAAGTTATAATGTGTGTGACATGTTTTATATCCAGCCATATGGGGAGATGATTGGATCCATGAAGTGAAAATAAATGTAAATGTAAATTGAATTATTGGAAAGCAGTTACTGTTAGAACCAATAAATCAGCAGTGCCAGCGAAAATTGCAGCTTCATCCATGCACTACTTCACATGTCAGCCAGTTATACATAACTTAGGCAGTTGATGCAGAGTAATTATAAATCATAAGTCATTTCTGTATCTTGTGCAGCTCCTTCACCATAATGTGGATGCAGTGGAAAGGAGAATCAGCGGAATGCAGGGGGGAAGTCTGATCATCAAGTGTAAGGATTTTCGAATCATTCAGTTGGACATCTCTAACCCAGATAAGTTTCTGAAAGTTGCCACCACTGTTGAGAACCTTTCGTCACTTGGTAAGTGCATGCCATGATATGCTACAATACAATACAGTACAGTACACTACAGTGGAATACAGTACCAATGTAGACAAGAGGCATGTCATAAGCTTTTTGCTGATTTTATAGCCTCTGTAGCATTATTTGCATGTGTTATCTTGAACCTTATCCTGAGTTATGGGAATTCCAGGCTTCAGACAGTTTTATCACCAGCAGCATCTCATGCTTGCCTTGCACATTCTGGCATAACTTTGCACGCAAGGGGCAAAATGGTGTCCCTCTCTCCCCTTCCCTCATCATTGTGATTTCCCTTATCTCTGTGGTTCCATCTGAAAATGATAACACCGTTGAGATATATGTTTGTGACTGTACCAAACGTTACTGCCCAATTTCTTTCATAATCCAATTTTAGTAGGAGTAGGTACAGGATGAAGTATTCATACTGTGCTCTTCTGGGGTTGCATATTTATGGCTCTGTCAGTATGTATAGCAGCAGTTGGCAGGATGAATCATGAATTTGGAAGCATTTGGAAGGAAACTGGTGTGACCTAATTGAGGTACTATCACAGCATTTGTCTGCAGGAACTGAGGAAAACAGCAAAATACCTCCTTCAGGATAGTTGATATCCCAGTCGAGAGTCAAACTCAGTAAACCCCCCACCCCCCCAACAAAATACAAGCCTAGAGCACCAGAACATTACTGCTACACCAGTGGGTCTTTTGGTTTGTGACATTGTGTAGTCTAGCATGTGGTGGAACATACTGGTTCTTCTTCAGGGTAGGCAGGTGGACGCAGTATATTCTCTGAAACACTGATACCCCCATAACCATGTTACACAGAGGTATGCCCCGGAATACTACAGTACAGAGTACTAAGAGTGTTGTAGCAGCCACATAGACTGTTTGCTCTTTATCTGTAGCTTTCCATTTAAAATTGCACTCAGTAAGAACACAGTATCACTAGAAGGATCACACATTACTCACTCTTACTTCATTCGTTACGTTTACATTCTACCGTGCCACCCGTGGGCATGTCACATCGCCAGATTCATGGTAATGTTGTTTTGAATTCAGTGATACGCGGGGTTCTCTTCAGTCATGTTACACAGTTCTACTTCAGCTTAAAAAATGCACATCTCTCAGTGAGCTTTACTTTTCCTTGTTCTGTAAATCGTAACAAATGTAATATGATAGTCACTTAGTTCATTCAGCCCAAAATAAAAGTGGAGCTTTGTGGTTCAGTAATTGTTTAACCAAATCATCCTGTATGTTAGGATTAAATTCTCCTACTGCTAGGGCGCTAGTGGACTGATTTTAACATGCAGATATGGCATTTACGGTGGACCCCCCATTTCCATTCTTGAACATAAAATTTTCCTTCTTTTTGTTTTAGTTTCAGTGATCCAAAGTCCATAATTTCAGTGTTAAATTTCTCCCTTTGTGTAAGATTTTCCTCAGTTTAATCCCAAAAGAAGCTTTAAATGGGGGGTTCACTCTGTACTGAAAACAAGGAGCTGCTTGTGTTCCATCACAATAGTGTGATACTAGGCTTTCACAGCATTAGTTGCAGGACCTGTGCCATCACAACAATGTGACACATGGATGATAAAGCTTAATTTCCTTTCCATGTGAACATGACCACACCATGGGTTCTGGTAGAACATGGATTCATTTGGCACTTGTTCTTATTTGTAACTGTCTACAAGCATTTATGGGGATTTTATGTTCAGCTGTTCCACTCCCCTTCGTTTCTTTGTTACTTTTCAACTTCATTGTCTTCTTCTGAAATATCCTTCAAATGTCCTCTTCCTAGTTCTTTGTAACACCAAGGTAGCAGAGTAACTATGAGTGTGCTCAATTGTTGACCAGAACGATGATTCATTTGCCGTGCTTCTTTATATCATCTTGCAGTGGACTGGTTAGGTGACATGGTTCTCATCAGTACCTTGACTGTTGTGACTGGCAGCGATTTGTCTTTTTGGCACCTAGTAAATGGATGATTGTACAATATTTCTGCAGTAAAGTGTATGGATTTTAAATGTTTTGTCACAACATGCTGACCAATGTTTGTGATGTACATATGCATCTTGAATGATATTTTTTTTTTCCAGATGAACCTACAAAACTGTACCCCTTCTTCTATCGCCCTATGTTCCCTATTTTGGAGGATGGTTGGACAGCATTCCGCCCCGAGACAGAATATTCACAATTGGTGACAAGTCAGGCAGATGAATGGAGGATCAGCTACATCAATAAAGACTTCAGTGTACGTTGCATATTGACTTCATACATAATTTCATGATAGAACATTATTTTAAATTATATGAGGGTTGTACGAAAGAAATCTGTATGCAGTACTGCTATTGAAGATATGCCAGCAGTCAACCATGTGCTGTGTACCAGTACGGGTGTATCAGACCAAACAGGAACTGCATGACATGGCTAAATACAGGCATTCCAGTTGTGGAATCCTTCCAGACAGGACCAGTGAGCTGTCATTTATTTCCATCTGTGAACAGGTTTCATTTGAACAACACTCATGTAGGTATGTTACAATACTATCATGCCCTGTTCTTCGGTATTGAATAATAAGCCAAGCAAAGAGCAAGCCAAATGACTTGGAAAGGGGTGTTCTTCTCACAGTTCTATTTCTGTGCTGTGAAAGATAACAGTGCCCCTGAAAAGAGCTGCTTTCATGCCTTTCATGCCCATTAGCCTTTATAAGGCACCATTTTCTTACTCCCTCCCTTGCATGTCAGTGACAACAGTGCAACTTGCATATGTAACCAAACTAATTCCTCACTTTGCACACTTCAACCATGAAGATGGAAACAGCATCATATTACTCTAAAATTTTGTTGTCTGCCTACAGGGCTACATGGTGCCACAACCCAGAATCCATGAAGGCAGATCAGTCCACATCCTGATGAGGCTCTCAGGTTTTCCTTTCCTTCATTTTTGCTATCTACCATTTTTGTGTACCCTCTACACCATGCTGTATTCATCTCTTTCATCTTCCTCAGTGGCCCCCTTTGCATGCTGAACACCTGCTACATTGTTCACCAAGTTACACATCACTGTCATTCTGTGTTATGGTGTTGGTCATGGGCTAATTTGAGGTAGATACTATTTGAGATTTCCATGAATGGACTGGGAAAAACCACAACAGTCATAAGAATAGCTGAACTCCAGGCCAGGATTTGAGCCTGGGGTTCAATTGATGATGTATTATCTTGGAAACATCATATTGACCTAGTGATCAGTAGATTATCCTCTGCGTGCTATACATTGCGAAATATAAAACATATTATATCATTTGCAACGTTAAGGCCAATCTACTTTGCTTACATACACTTCATCGTGAGTTATGTTATAATCTTCTGGGGTGGCTCCTCACATGCCAGGAAAGTGTTTATCTTGCAAAAGAAAATTATTAGAATCGTTATATTCTCATTATATATACTCACTACTTTTATACATAATTAATAATAAACATTTATTTAACTTTAATAACGAGATTCATGAATATACAACTAGATTCCAAGTAATTTACATGTACCTAGTGTGAATACTTCAAAATTTAGTAAAGGAGCCTATATAACAGGTATTAAAGTGTTCAGTCATCTTCCACGATCAATAAAGATTTTGGTCAGTGATGGGAAAAGCTTTAAATTTACATTAAAGAGGTTTTTATGTCATCATTCTTTTTACTCTATAAACGAATACTTTCAATATAAAGAAGACAAAGGATTGTAATCCAGATATTCTCTTGAATTGTTTGCTAGGTTGATTTTCCACATGATGTATTACCCACTGACTAGTTGCTAGGCATTTAAGGGTAAAAATTTTATGGTAGTATGGTATTGTAATAGACCACCTGTTTTAAATAACATATGACTGTATACAATTAAGATGGCCATGAATGGTTTACTCACAGCTAATTTCCTTTTATCCTTTAGAGGAATATGTTAATAAATAGTTTTCAAATTTTAAGGTTCTTGCTAAGAAATGACTGATTGCATATACTGAATTTTTATTGTATATTCTAATTTTTAAATCCTGATGAAATGTACTATATTTGGACTGTTAAATTAAGTATTTGTAGTTATGTGATCGAAATAATTGCATCCAACTTCTATATTAGGAATAGGTCTGTTGTATTAATTTATGATGGTGACAACGGTAATCATATATCTGCATAAATTTGATCATATTTGAATATTTTATGTACAAATTTTGTATTGTGACTGTATTGCATGCTGATGGGTTTATTGTTTTTATGTATGTGTTTATGTATTTTGACATGTTCTGTATCCTATGGCATGTGTGACCTGAAAAGGATCTATGGAATTTAAAATAAAGTGAAAGTGAAAGGCCTCCTGAATATGAAGTAGGAGTACCACCCATTCATCTGTCACATTTGGTTAATACAGTATTGTTGAATAACCTACAAACAGTCACTGGAAATAGTGCTCTGGGGCCAGATCTGCATCTGGGCTGCTGACTCACTGTTGCTGATGTATTTATTGCACTGTACAGATCTAGTAGGCAGTAGCACCATCAGCTTTGCTATGTGGAATTGAATTCTGGGCAATTAAAGCAAGGGTCATAAGTAAAATACACTCAGTAGCAATGAGATCCTTGAGAACAATCAAAGGCTGCACTAGACTAGACTGTATTAAGAATGAAGATACCAGAAAATATTTGAAATTTCAGTCAGCAGAAACAAAAGGATGAATACAGATGAAACTGGATATACCCTTCGGTTAGAATGACAGATGAAAGAACTGAAACAGGTTCTACAGCAGAAAGCAGGGAATGCCAACACCTGTATAGCATAATAGGATATCTCAAAGCATTCTACAGGTTAAATCTGTAGAATATAGAGAAATAGAATGACCCAGAAGAATTTGTTGTGAGGTGAAGATGTAACGTCAGAACACATTAATTGCATGTACTGTGAAGTGAAGAAGGGGAGGGGGGAATATTTATTTATATTTATGGTTTGACACTTTCAGTAGCTGATTGTGTGGTGCCGAATGACGAGATCATTAATGAACAGTGAATTAGAAAGGATGTGAAAGAAGCGTGTACAGCCTGCTTCAGGATATTGTCCCAGCTGTGTACTGTGGATTATTTTATAATGCCATCAGTACCTGAACTACATAGCATCAATGTAAATATTAAACTTGTGATCCAGGATACTGTGACATGACCAAGGAACATTTGAGTGCTTGGTGTAAGCTGAAAGAAAAGAATTACAGTGCATCTCATATACAAGGATGTTAAGTAAGGAAGGTACCCTAGCCTGTAACATGTTTGTTAATCATTCTTTTTTTTTTTTTGGACCATCAGCCATATAGTCCTGACTTTGCACTGTTGGACTTAAATTTGTTTGGGCCTCTGAGGCAGCACTTGGGAGCTCACTGATTCCACAGTAATGAATAGGCAGAAATGATTATTTGTAAATGGTTGCTCATGCAAGAACCTGATTTCTGCTGCAATGGAAATTTTTAAATTCATGCCAAGATGGTAGAAACGCATCAATATGCTTGGGGATTGTGTTGAAAAATAATTGTACTACAATGAAATAAATGAGCTTCATTTAACATTATAATGGTTTCTCATTTAATGTGTATGACCTAGGGAACCTTACTCATTGAACAACCTTTGTATAAATGAGACAGCCCCTTGAATATGCTTCCTATCAGTTCTCTCCCTCCTCCACCATTTGAAGACAGAAGCTTCTTTCTTAACTTTCAGTAGGTCATGAAAAAGCAGAGCAGCATAATTACATTACCAACTGTATTAGCAGCTGTATAACAATTTAGGAAAGGGGTCTTTTGAGTTGTAAGATTGTGTAATCTGGAGAGAACCCAATGCTTTTGAGGAACTTATCACATCCATCTTCAGGGATGAAGAGCGAAGGAAGGAACCTGCAGGTGCAGGCACCAAGCTGAGCTTGCTGGAAGACCATAATTTTCAGAGTTCTCAATTATTAGAGCCTCAAGTATAAGTATATAGAAATCATTTTTCAGACAGACACAGCATTTATGTTGAAGTTTCAAATCTCTGGTGGCAATGGACTGCCATAAGTGATCCCCTTTTTTTATTATTATCAAATGATCACTTTCAATATAAACTTGTTTTTGGTGTCTGTCCATTTCATTTTGGTCCATGCAGAGAAACTTTTTTTTTTTTAATCTTTGGTGTATAAACTAGAAAAGAAATATGACATATATAGAAAAAAGTTTTTGTGTTATGAACAGTAGCAGTACCCTATACAGTACTCTTTCCCAAACTGTGTGCAGTAAGGACATTTGGAAGGGTGTCATGTGATTTATATATATACTTTATTTTACAACTGAACATTTTATTTCCAAAATACATTAATTCAGTCTTAAATGTTACGTTTCTTATGTTCAGATGTCTTAAATAGAAGCATTAATCTTTCTTTTTTCAAAGTTTTCACACACACACACACCCCACCCTCCCCATCTCACATGGAGGGATGCTTCTGCAGCTTCCAGTATGCCCCTGGAACTTTTATATGCTGCACCACAAGCGTAACGCGATGGGGAAACACCAATGTACAGTGATAGAAATGTCTGTCCCTCATTCACTCTTACCAGTGTGGAGTGATACAAAATTCTCATGAGAAGAAAGTGTCACTTTGTCTGGACTGCTTCCTGTTTTGACTTACAGTTCAGACTGTGGGCTGTGGCCCCACAGATGTCTGCATAGATTTGTTATATCTTACAAGACATTTTTGGCTGTCTTAGCCCAGCCACATGTTCTCCTCCTTGCTCATTTTTTCTGTGCACTGTTAAGTCTGACAGATTTCCTTTGATCCAAGCAGTTAATGGTACATCATAGTTAGATCTATTGTTGCGTCCCTGAAATTGCATGCTCTTACCCTCAGGCTTAAGCACTCACAGGCAAAATGACAAGACAAGAAGGAGCTTGATATGGAAGTTTGTGGTGATTGTATATTAACATAATTATTGACTTACCTGGACATTATCCATTGTGTACTTTAGTTAGTGACTAGCAGTGTCATTTGTGCCCAACTGAGCAGGCTTTTTACCTGAGGATGGAGACAAATCCAGTCTCTGAAACATTGTTTTAAATAAAAAGTATGACAAGTTTTAATTTCCAGGAAGTCAGTAATTGTACTGGAATAGGAGCTCATGCAGCTGGCTTTATGTGGGCTTTGTCTGGTGTCACACAGGTCTGTGCCACATATCCCAGTGCAGTGGTGGTGCCCAAGTCTGTGGATGATGACACCATTATTGCTGCTGCCAATTTCCGTGAAGGGGGGCGCTTCCCAGTACTTAGCTATAGGCATGACACTGGGGTGAGTTACCGAGATGGCCTTATCACATTAATTTTATTCCCTGCAGAGTAGAGACAAGTTTGTGGAACATCTGATACACATATGAGGTAATGGGACACGCTAAGCACATTCTGGTGTAAGTATCCAGCTGGTAAAATTTATAATCCAGCAGATGCCTACAAATAACTGACACCCCAGTAGAGTATGAAGTTGTACTTTGCATGTGTACAGTGGATGTACATATGTGAAGCTCTTATGAGTGAATATTTTCAGAGTGTCCTGATGAGAAGCAGCCAGCCCATGACAGGTCCCAGTTCCAAACGCTGCAAGGAAGACGAGAGACTCATCAACTCTGTTCTAGGACCCGGTAAACGTGGCTATATTATTGACACCCGTACACAGACGTTGGCTCAGACAGCTAAGGTATGCTCCAACCCAGATGTTAAAGTTGAAGTTATGAACCTGTTGTTACCTGCACAAATACCCAACACCATTTTTAGTGTTGCCCCCCATTCCAGTCTTGCCCAACAAAGGTATGCAGCTCTGCTTGCTTGTTTATTGTTCTTCCCCTAGTGTTTCTCATCCTCTGTTAGGGTTAGTGGTAATGGTTTGAAGGCAGCCTGGTAATATGGTGTCCCATAATTGTTCATTCGAAGAGCAACATTTATTGCTGACAAACTACTGGAGAGAGAGGGTTGGGAAGAACATTAACATTGATGAATGCAGGAATTCTGTTTAGTGTGACTGGCAGGAGTGCATAGACCAGCATGGTGCAGTGATCCAACAGAAAGCAAACTGCATGATTTTACACATGATGCAGCAGAGTTGTGCATGTATGACATGAGTTCAAGAGTCTGTTCAACACAGCAGGAATGCCAGCAATATACATTCTGACATGGATGCCTGCTACATGTGGAGTTTACTGCCAAGCCCCACCATAGAACTACCTGCTAACAATGCCTACTTTGGAGGCAAAGGTAGTGGCACAGAAATACCTCCAATGCTTACATGAAATGACCTTGAAACAGCAGCAGGTATAGGTCATTTCAAAGTTTGTCTCTTCCTCTAAACAACAGTCTGTCACACTTGATGCAATCTATTGACAGAAATACAGGGCGTTCAGTCATTGAGGAAACCAAGGGATCAGCGTGAGTCAGATACAACATTTCTCACAGATTGCTGCTGTAACTGCCGATAGTGGAATGAGTCATCAGCACTGATAAACACGCACACACTCACGAGTGTAGAGTGGATGGATCATTTTGCCGCAACTACTGTGTTTTTTCCCCGCTAGCAAGAGCGCAGTCGTGTTGCTGATTCCCTCACATCACTTGCTGTACATTTTTTTGTTATTTTACAATCTACTCAATATATGTAAATAATGTAACTAGTAAAAGGGATGGGTGTATGTAATATTGAAGCAGGTATCATCCTCCAATGATTCTCTGGCACTTATCTAATGAGATCCTCTGGCCACATTCTGTTTAGTCTTCTTTCTATTGCTGGTTGGTTGAAGAGGTTTCTTATTAGTTGGTTGTTGTTTTGAGTGGTCCGGTTTCTGTGTTTCTCCACGTATGCTCTGATGACATCTGTTACATATGGTATGCTTAGATCATTGTGTAAGGTAGCGTTTGGTACGTACCAGGGGGCATTGACTAGAGCATACGTAGTAAAGACAAGCAGCGGCACGCACACAGGAAGACTACACAGAATAACACCTGTACAGTGTGGAAACAAGAACTAGCCGCTGCAGCACTTTAGACATAGGGCGAGTAACCCTAACAATTTTAAATTTAAAATTTAGAGAAAATTTTAAAGAATTTTAAAATTATAGCTAAAGATTTTATAGTGCTGCTACAGGAAAATCAAAATTGACGTGTGCAAAATAATCTACATACCAGACAGATATCAACGAAGTAGATGTTGATAATAACAAAGAAAATAACAATGTGTTTTTAAATGTTAAATTTTAGACTGGGTTCAGTGTGGCAGCAACGTAAGAGTATACACCTGATGATGGCCGTTAGAGGCCGAAACATGTAGTGTAGAAGAGAGCAAGATCAAAGACATAGAATATATATTGTTTGCACTTGGGACGGAGTTTGTATCATTTATCATTTATTAACTAGTAGTTTCTGTACATGCACACATTTATGGGAATAGTGTAAAAAGATAACAAACTTGCCATGCTTTATAACGGGTGTTGGAAGTGACCCCCTTCTGCTTGCAAACGTGCCTTGCATTGCGTAAATAAATTATACAACACTTTCTGAAGTTGGTCCACGGCAGTTGAACTAATTACACGTGTAAAATCCTCATGCTGTACAGCAAATGCTATTACATATTAAAAAGGTGAGGGTGTGCTGTGCTGTAAGTCAGCACTGAATCATTGGCCCCTTATTTTTCCACGAAACTGTGAACTCTGACTGCTTCATTAATGATATACTGAATCCGTTCTTCAAGCAGCTGACTGCTGAAGAAAGACAATACGGGAAGTGTTTGAAGACAAAGTAATCAGCAGAGGACTGTGGCCTCCCAGATCTCAGTTTTTTGTGATTTTTATCTATGGGGGAACCTAAAGGGAAAAGTACAAGAATAACCCTCACACCACTGAAGCTCTGCAAAATGAAATAACACACGTGATTAGTTCAATTGCCGTGGACCAACTTGTGGCGTGTTTGCAGGCAGAAGGGGGTCACTTCCAACACTTGTTATAAAGCATGGCAAGTTTGTTATCTTTTTACACTATTCCCATAAATGTGTGCGTGTACAGAAACTGATGTGAGGGAATCTGCGTCACAACTGAACTCTCACTGGCGGGGAAGGGCACAGTAATCTCAGAGAAACAATCCATCCACTCTACGCTAGCGTGAGTGCACATGTTTATCAGTGCTGATGACTCATTCCACTATCAACAGTTACAGCAGCAATCTGTGAGAAATGTTGTATCTAACCCACGCTGCTTCCCTGGTTTCCTCAACAGTTGAACGCACTGTATTAACACCAAGCAACAGCTGTGTCAATTTAATGTGAATACCAGAAGCCTAGCTCTTTGGTATGTGGCATGCTGTGTTTCACTGGAATTGGCAGGTGAGGCATGCACCGATGACATGTACTGTGGTTGGAAGGAAGTAAGGTGACATAGAACATCAATAGTGCGAAATGAAATATTGTTAAACACTGGTTTTCAGTGAATGCTTGTTGTTTTGTTAAATATATTTGCACACAGTGAATTTTGACTCAACAGAAATTACTTGTAATGTGATAAATCCATGCCTGTCTACTCCATCAGAAACCAAAGTTTCAGCATTATACAAGGAACAGGTGAGAGCTTGTGGCAGTGCTTTTGTGCTGCTGATGCTTCCATTGTATGGCTTTGGAACAGCCTGAACTGCTGCTTTGTGGTGATTGGTCAGTCACAAAGAGCAGCCCTGCACTTGGCAACCAGTTCTAGTGAAAAGCACTCACGGAGTTGAGTGGTGAATGTTGATAGATAGTAGGTCCCTCATCTCAGATTGCAACAATGTAGGTCTTGTACATCAGCACGGTGTGAAAGAAACAATGTGGTTTACACCACTGATCTTTATGGCCCCATCCGTGTACAGAAAAATTTGTCATAGTTGCATTCTCATACAAAACAATAACATTGTGAGGTAGTTTACCTTTCGGTAAGATATTTGTGTTTGTGTTCCAAAACGTATAAGGAGCATCAGATTACTGGATGTGTGTAAAGCAGTTTCTGCAGTCTGTGCATAAGAAATTAATTCCAGATTTTAATAAAACTTCATAACCACTTAAATATAATCATATCTGCCTGTTATGCATTGTTCTGAGACCTAACTGATAATTTCACTCAAGAATTGCTGATATGGACTATGAAAATTAGATAAAACTGATTAATAACAAAATTCAAAGTCTGAAAGTGTTTGGAAATGTATTCACGTTAGGAAGACGCAGCTAAACAGACTGTGTAAGAGAATGTGTCTTCATGATGTGTATCACTGGGTTAGGCATGTTTTGCAGCTATGAATATATTGTCACGATTTTGAGTGACTCTCGACTGGGTTTTGGATTTGAGATTACATTTATTGACCACTTTAACACATGACGCATGGGTACACTTAATTATAGTGCTGGCAGTGTCTTCACTAGTAGTTGCCTGGTAACAGCTCCAACAATGGCTATTCCTCTGCCTCCATGCTGAAGTCCTCTCTAAATGGCGTCACTCTTCCAACTGAACTAACTTCTAAATGTGTTTTGGTTATAACATCATGGCTTGGACCAACAGAAAACAGCTTTTCTGTTGTTGCTTGAATCGTTTCTGTGGAAATATGGTTTGTTTGCAAATATGTTACCCAGTAATGGCTCTGGTATATTTGCTTAACTTGCCATCATTGTGTACTAAGAGATGTTTTCTTGTTTTTCGAGGTCATTACCCAGCAGTAGCTCTACACACTACAATATTTAAACTATACTGTTCTTCATCCACTTGCTTCAATCTCTAATGCAATACAACTGTCAATTTTAAAATGTCATTTACAATCACATTTAAAATTCATAAAATGTCATTAAAATCACATTTTATTTAATTTTTTTCAACATCTTGCAGGAAGGATGATTTCCAGTAATCCTACTTTCATGTTTTCACAGAGCAAGCAAAACACCCGGTGGGGACTAATGACTTCTGGAGTGAGACGCTATGTATTCTTCTATAAATTTATTGACATACAGGCAAAATGTACTGCCTCAATTTTCATGGTGAAAGTGTAAGCCAAACAAGTAAACAGCAAGCAGAGTGTTCACTTGCTTGGGTTACCCTTTGACTCTGAAAATGGAGATAATACATTCATCCAAAATGTTGATAGGCTTTTAGCAGACTATATGGCATCACATGTCAGAGGATATTTGCCTGAAACAAGTCTGAGGGTACATCATTCCTTCTGTAGGGAGTCTTATGCAGGGTGCGTCAATGATTTGGCCAATTTGGCAGTGGTGTTTTTTCCTGGATTGGTTGGCGTCGGCAGGATGCCACTACTGCCACCCAGCAGCCTACTTCAAAGCGTTTTAGTTGCAATGGAGCCGTGGACTGGAGCACAACATGCTTTTGCTGTGAAATCAATTTACAAAAACAGTGACAGTTTCATGATAGCTCAGCGTGAATTTCGAAGAGTTTGGTATTCATCGCAATCATGCTGTGCCATCTGCCCATGCTGTCAAGACCTGGGTTCAGAACTTTGAGGCTACTGGTTCTACACTAAGGAAGAAGGTGGTAGTGTAAAAACAGCACATACACCAGAGAATGTAGCAACAGTGAGAGAAGCCATTGAATGAAGTCCATGCCAATCTGTGCGTCACCACGCTACATCACTTGGGCTGTCCGAAGCCGGCATTCGATGGATTTTGCGTAAAGATCTCCACTTTTA